CTCATGAGCACAAGGTCATCGGCAAAGAAAATGTTGGATAGGTGTGGACCTTTTCTGGAGATTTTTATTGGGATCCAATTTTTGGTGCTGACCTCTAGCTCATTTTTTTGAAGTAGTCAGTACAATTCCATTAACAAGGATAGATACTCTACATGAAGATGCACAAGACATGAGCAAGCTGATTAGTTTAGATGGTAGTTTAAAGGCATCTCATCTTGACTTGTAATACACAACTCCATTACTAAGATTTATGAATACAAACATTGCAAGTTCTCCTAACTATTTCTTCATCTAGTTCTCACTCATTAGTATTTCAATTTCTTATTCTTGTTCTTAACATAGTAAACAAAAATCATTTATTCTTGTTTCATCAACTTAGCCGGAAAAAACAAAGTTGTTTGAACAATCCTAATTTACTTGTTTTGCCCCTATTTAATCACAAATTTAACTATTATCAACCACATTTTTGCATTATACAATTTCAAATATAACGTTCAAACTATATGGACAAACGGTCTCTTCATCTACAAACTAAGGAAAGTCAAAAAGAAGAATGCAACCACTAGAACCTATATTGCTTTAATTTTAGTAGTTTTAATTAGCCTGGTGAAGAAATCCTCCCTCATGGGCTAGCTTTTGGGATATAAATTAGGCTCAAAATCTAATTTTACATAGTATCAGACCATGACTTAACTCACCCGGTGTTAGGCCCCCAACTTAAATTACTCACACTCCAAATGTCCAACCCTGAGCGTGAGTGGGGTGTTGAAGATTATAATTAAAAGTCTCACATCGACAGTTAATGAGATGGATGATCTCCTAATGTGAACTTAGACAATTCTCCCTTAATAAACTAACTTTTGGAGTATAAGTTAGGCCTACGAGCTAATTTTACGTATAATATAACTGACTAGTGGACAAGTGGTGCTAACAGTCAAATCCATGAATAAGCGCATATAGCATATGATAAATCACTGTGCTATACATATATATACCACAAATACAATAAATTACAGTTGAAATGAAATGAATAAAAATGTATAAACAAATCTTTAGGCTGAGGCACGGATAGCTCACTCTCTTTAAGGAGATCCAAGTCCACTGCGGCACAATCTACACCGATCCAACAATATCACTCTTGACTTGTCCCCTCCAGAATACAACAACCCAACAACGTCGTACAACTCAAAAAAAAAACGCTGGATTAGTTGAAGAGTTAAAAGCTCCATAAAAAGAATACTTTCCTTCAACATATAATTACTCTTTTTTGAATAGTGAATATAATTAAAGACTAAGAATATTTTTCTATGTCTCAACTCTCTCGTTCACTACACTAATTTCAATATAAACACAATACAATACTACTCATCTTTTTCACTTTATATTTTCTTGTACTTCTCTTGTTGTTTCTTCTTCTTCTTCTTCTTCGTGACAACACAAAGGAAGACCACACTATTTATAGGTGGTAAGTTCTTCCTTGCAATGAATAGGAAGATAGTGGGTAGTAAACTTGTCAAATGAATGGCCCAAATGTTACATAGGTTACAAGACAGAGATAGAATAAAGGGTGAAATGAAGAATTGATGGTTACATAAGTTACTAATAACTAATGACCACTTTCTTTCACAATTGGTGAGAGTAAAGAGACTCAAATGTAATACCTATCAATGAACATAACATGATACATAATGTAACATATAATATATTTTTATTGATATTAAAATGTCACACAACATATAGCATGTATGATTCTTTACTAGCAAACTGTTCCAACTAATTATCAACTGGGGTCTGGGATATTACCATGTGCATGAGGCAATGTGAGCCTCAAACCTACTTCAAGATTATCCAATTTGTTAAGTGTGTAGGACCCAAACAATACTCCTTTTTTTAACTTCATGTTCATGCATAATATCCAAGAGACAAGGCAATATTTGGTCAAAAGGAAGTCAAAGTGAAAAGGATATTGATGTTTGAGTGGGAAGAAGAAACAAAGAGTCAGTATATATGAAGGTTCATTAGCTGGTATTATAATACTATACTCCCTCCGTTACAAAAAGAATAATCTAATTTGATTTGACACGAAATTTAAGAAAATAAAAAAGATTTTTCAATTTTATAGTTCTAGATTAAAGTTATGTCAAATATATCAAATTATCCTTTAATCTTATTGTTTTAAACATTCCACGTAGAAAGTCGAAATTAAAAGTGTTACCAAAAAAGGTACTAAAAAAATCATTCTTTTTTAAAATAGAAGGAAGTAATAATTTAGAGAAATTTGGAGGATTCCCACATTGGGTTGCCCCATCCTCATGTGTGGCCTACGCCTTTAAACTTTTTCGATACAATGCATCTGCCTAAAAACATTTGCATCTCAACATACACATTCCTTTTCAATAAATGAAAAAAAAAGAGTATTTTTTATCAGAGCTAAAAAAATTATTTGAAAGTCTTGTCACATAATCATTCAGTTGATGAATTGACAACATCCATTGGATTTTATGTACCAATCATATTTTAGAAGGGGTTTTGCCGACGTGGGTCACTCAAGTTTTGTTTATGTGTCCCCAAAAATTGATTTGTTTTATTTTTTCTCATTTCGTGTCTGATATTAACATTATAGTCCGACTAAATTTAAATTCACATTGAAAATTTACATATTTGGGGTAATTGCTAAAACGCTTTCTAGCAAAGATTATTTTGTAATTAAAAAAACTCAGTCTTCAGATTCGAGACTTCTGATTAAGGATGACTTGTTAATTTTAATGTGTTAATTTCCTTGAATTGACACTCAATTCTATCAAGACTTGTGGTCTTATGGCCTATGTCTTAATTTGTAAGTGTTCCTTAATTATGCCTACAATAGGATCTTTGTACAACTTGCTTGATCCCTATTCCCTACCAATTTTGGATTATTATTATTCGACGTGTAGACTTGTTATTTGGTTACTATACTTGGTATTGGAGTTACAATCGTTACAGTGTAGGCCACGTCTATAAATAAATACGAGAGATCAAGATTATTTTTTTGATACTTCTATAAATAAAATTATTTATTTATTTTTACACTAAACAATATTTATGAAAATTTTGTTGGGAGCGCCACCTCTAAATGGACCACGCAGTGCGCGATTCGAATTTAGTGGAGACTCCAATGTGGGCTCTGGACACCGGTGGGAACCAAAAAAAAAAAGAATTTGGATCATTTTGTTAACAATTCTTCAAAAAAAAAAAATTGTTTCAACATCATATATGTTTGTTTCTTCCCTCCCCCATAAATTTGAATTTAATCTTGTGTTCTTGAAGTTGTGCAATGAAATCAATTTCAAAATTTCCACAATTTTACTTACGTTTACTTTTTAGAATAATTTTAAAATGTTAACTAAAATAGAAATAAAATTGAGAGTGTTAATATATATATATATATATATATATATATAAATACTTTGGAATTAATGTTATTTAGTATAATTTTTTAAAGAAATAACAAAAAAAAAAAAGATCTTGACCGTTCTTATTAATTTTTGCATGTGAAATGTACATGCATTACACCATTGAGGAGTAATGAACAAAATAGTAATGGAGGAGATTCTTTCCCAACAAGATTGGGTTGCAAACTACATTATTTCAAGATTAAATAAATAATGACAAAATTATTTAGTCAATGTACTTTGTTAGTAGATTTGATTCATTTATTAAAAATGGAATATACATGTTAAGATGATATAAAATGCATTCGGTTTTGCTTTTAAAAATAATGATAATTTTGTTTTGTTTTTTCAATTTAACCTTGTTTGTCTTTTAAAAAAAAATGGGAGAAAAAGATTTGGTAAAAGGCCAAATGTATCACTATTATTTTATGCCGGGATAATGTAAGAATAATATCATAATTATGAATTATGATAAAAACAATCTTGCAATTACTAGTCTCAAAAAGAAAATTATACCGAACATAAAATGAAATAATGTCATAATTTATTTTGAAGTTATAATCCCATATCTCACCCACTAAATCATTCTTGTTGGGAAATAGAACATATAAGTAATTTTGATGATTGAACCTGGTTCACTATTTGTTGTCTTATGTGTACTTTAACAGGTGAATTAGGTCCCTAGACATAAATGCGGACAACTTGTATGGATATGAAAAATTGCAGCAAACAAAGATACTAATAAATTGCAAAATAAAGGAGCAAAAAAGAAATAGCTGAAATAAATTAGCAAAGAAGGAAAGAAATAAAGAATACAATTAAAGAAACTCCTTTTAAAGAAGGAAATCAGAAATTTCCTTAGAGGAGGACAAGTCCTATTCGAAGTAAGAATCCTAGTTTATGATATGCTAGGACATGACAAATCTACCGTGCATATATATATGACATGAAGACCATTGAAATCTACATCTATTTCATATTCACGAAACTCATCATCTTGAGAGTAATAACAATTGGAGCAAAACTGCAAGACTTCGTCACGGTAATGCTGAAATCTGGTTCACGAGTTTGTATTTGAATCTGAACTATTGAATATGAAGTTTGATCAATTAAAGGCTAGGGTTATTAGTCTTTATTGAGTTTGTAATAGGATTATTATTGAGTTGTAATAAATCCTAGATTGAAGAGAGTAGTTAGTGAAGTTTGTAACAAGAAGCTAAGTTTACTTCTTGGAAAGTGAATTTGTGAGAATTGTAACAAGAAATGGGTTTAATTTTTTTGGAGAGTAGAGAAAACGGATATAGTTAATAGTTAGAGTTAAAATCATGTAATTGAGTGAGAACAATGAGTATCAATACAGAAATTACTCAAAACAATGCTTGTGTAATATTAGGCTAAAAAAAGTGTAAATTCATCCAACATCACCCATACACACTTTTACCAAGAAGATGTGTCTATTTGGTTGTATTGTGAGACTTGATACATGTATATGTGTCCAATTTCTCAATGTTTCATGTGTACAAAAATTACAAAATGTATAACACTAAGAGGAATATATTGATGAGAAAAGGAAAAACTGTTGAATGAATCTTTAGGTGTTGTAAGACAACTTGGGATAGCAACCAAAAGTGTGGTCAATTAAAGGACCAACTTGATTAGAACCCACCCCTTCACATTCTTCTTTCTTTAGCTTCTGCATCATGTGTGCTTCATATGCCTTTGCTCTCTGCAATATACAATTAAGCTAATTAGTTTAAGTTTTATACAGTTATCGATCTATACAATCAAATCACTTATAAGATAATTACAGGTTAATCTCTACTATAAGTATTACTAACATGATCTAAAAATTCTTGTGTAAAAAAAATACTCGCGAGCAATAACAAAATTGAAATTAAAACTATGTAAAAGATAAATTTGGAGTACCTGCATTGTCTCCAAAATGTCTGTCTCTGAGTTGAAGTCATAATATGCGCTAGCTGCAGATAGCTTCATTGAGAGGAACTAAATCAAACAAATACAAAAAGTCATATATTTATTCTTCTTTTTTGTGTATGTGTTTTGGCCAATCAGAAAAGAAATTGTGGTTGATTATTTCAACTCACCTCAACTTGATTTTGCAAAGATTGCACATAGTTAATTATTTCATCAAGCATTACTGCCATGCCCATAGACTGCAATTTGATTAAAATTGGAATGTTATTATGTTACACTTCAATGTTTTTTTTTTTTTAGTGTTAGGTACTCATATTGGAGCCAGTGGCGGAGCCAGGAACTTCACGAAGGGTGTCCAAAAAAAAGGAGAAAAAATGTTGCTTGTGAGATTCAAACACGAGCATTTAGGGCTCTTTCAAGGCATCTAAAATCATTGGGCTACAACACCTTATTCTGTCAAGGGTGTCCAAAATATGTTATTTAATCACTTCGTGCATCATTTTACTTATAAATACGGTATTATTTTCCAACGAAGGTTATCCAATTGGACACCCTCACTATAGGGTAACTACTCTCCTGATTGGAGCCCGACTATAACTGGATTCACACTGTGTAGTGCTCCATTAGGAGGGAAACTCTCCCTATCAAAGATAGGCTCAAACCCGAGACATCTGGTTAAGGTAGGAGCAACCTCATCCACGACACCACATCCTAAACATCAATTTGACATTGTATTGTAAAAAGAAAGATTACCTTGTAGCATCCTGGAACAATGTCTTGTAAACACCTAAGTCTTTCATTAATTTTTCCTCTTCTAACCTGAATTAGAAAAAGAAATACATTAGTCATTTTTTTGTGCATATGTGGAAAAACAGAATATACTAAAGAGGGAGACGAAATTACCCTTTCTGCTAAACTGTGACTATCAGTTGCTTGGCCTCTCTTAGCTCTTACATGCACCACTTGCCTTAGTTTCTCTTCTTCATTATCATCACTTTTTACTCTCTTTCCTCTTCCTTTGCTCTGTAAATTGTAATGTCAAAAATATGTATATATTAAATGTGGCAAAGTTACATGGTCCAAAGAGAGTTTAACTAAATTATACTCTATAGATAAGATACTATAATAGTACATAAAAATTCTTGATTCCCTTATGTTTGTTTGTTTGGTTGGTGGTTAATGTATTAATTATTTCATCTTCTACTCTATATAAAATAGTACATAATTTTTTTCATAACTTATACTTCATGTGTTTCATATTACTTGACTCTTATTGACCTGACACATCTCTTAAGAAATCTTTTATTAGAAGTGTATTTAACAAACTAAACTTATTAACAATGTATTGAAACTCTAAATTTGACTACTATTACTTTATGTAGTTATGTAATACTAAAAATTGTATGAGAAAAAAAAAAGTAATAAAGCTATCTTGATTTGCTCAAATGTATAAGATAAATAAAACATTTATTTTTTATATAAGGTCAAATAAAATGAAACGAATTAAGTATGCAGGATTGTTGTAACCAAACAACGTATTTGATGTGCTGAACTTTTGTAGAGAGCAACTAAAATGCTACCAAACATGGTACAAGTTTCATGCCGATTCTAATGTGCATAAATAATTCACCTCCTAACCAGCAACGAACCGATCCCTTACTACATACAGAGTAGAAAGAATTCAAGATTAACTTACTGTTTTTCTTCTTGAAGAAACTGCAGGGGATGAGTAAGCAGAGCTACTTTCTGGGGTTTCAATTGTTTTCCTTTTCTTTCTTTCATTTATATCATTTCTAGCTGGTACTGAAAGATTGAACATATCTTGTTGGAAATTTTCTATTAAACGTATCGGAAATTCAGGGGTTTGGTTGAAAATATGTTCATCAGAATGTTTATGAAAATTGAAATTAGACATTTCCAGGGAAGTGGTATTCAAGTAATTTTGTTCTGGAAATTGGTTATGAAAATTCAAATTTGTGTCAGTGTTTAATAGAGAGAATTGTGGAATAATGATTTGCATATCTGGATTGAAATAATGAAAAGCCATGAAAACTTCTTGTATATTATAAAAAATAAAATATGTTGAATGTTAATTGTATTTGATGATAAGAGAAGTTGTGTCTGCCAAATATATTTATAGAGAGCATGGGCAAAATGTGAGTTTGTCCAACTTTGTTTTTTTTACTTCCTCTTTTCAATCATAGTTGTCCACTATTGACTTCGCACACCTTTTAAAAAACTATAAATATAAGAATAATTTTACTATATCATCCTTTAAATATAATAAATACAATGTCTTGAAAAATATAATAAGGAAATGACTATAATTAATGAAAAAGGTAAATTAGGAATTAACTGTAAAATTATCCATTAATTTTATAAAATAGATAAGTATTGTTGGACATTTCAAAAAGTATAGTGGATCAATATTCTTAAACGGAGGGAGTATTAAAGAATGAAATAGTGAAGCATTTTGAGGGATCCAGCCACTTGGAGGTTTGGGATTCTGTCCCCATATGGACCATATCCAGGAGATGTATACAATTTCATGGGACCCTGCATTGAAGATGGCTTTAAATGAGCAAAATTATTATACTTCCTCCGTTTTAAAAAATATATTTATTTTAATTTGGCATAAATTTTAAGATAATAAAGAAAAAATATATTCATTTTTCTGATCCTAGTGTCAAATGTATCAAATGATCTATAATTTTGTGATCTTAAACATGTTGCGTGGAAAACTAAAAATAAAATACTACAAAAAAGGAAAATGATCATTCTTTTTAAAACAGACTAAAAAGGAATAGATTATTCTTTTTTAAACCGAGAAAGTACATCTTTTAATTAAGAATAAGAAAAAGAAAAAGAAAAAGAAAAAAAATACTTTGAAGTTCATAAGAAATTGCCGAGGTATATAGTGTTTAAGTTGTATTTAAGGAGATCAAAAGAGGAATATAATAAATTAAAGATGAGTTTATGGCCAGAATTATCACTTCAACTTGTTTTTTTTTTTTTAAATCTAGTTCAAATACAATTAATTAAGCCTTAACGTTACTTTAGTAGGTAACGAATAATATATAAATGTCTTTGAAGGAAAAAAATAAAATAAAAAATCAATAGGTTTAGAAGTTAACAATTAAATCTCATTTAATTAAATTAAAGTATATAAATAGTATGAAGTCCCAAAACAAAATGCTGAGAGATAAAAAAATAAAAAAAATAAAAAAGTAAGAAGATTTAAAAGATATAACATTAAGAGAGTCAAACAAAAAGGAAAGTTGTTAGCGAAAACGTGAAAATAAAGAACAAGGAAGAACAATAATATTTAACGTGATTCGGATCAAAATGATTATGTGTCCACCAGAGAATAATTGTCTTTATATTAATTACAAAGAAAGGGGAGAGATCCCAAGTACATCTAAGAGGATTGCTCTACTAATTAATTCTCTACTCTTCTAATTTATTTTGCTGTGAGTTTTAGGATGTATTCAACAATGAAGATCCTTTTATAGGTGGCCAAACTTGGACTCTAAGGGCATCTCCAATCCAAACACCAAATTTGGTGTCATCACTATTTTTTGTATAATCAACTTCAACTCACTGCACCAAATTTTACACCAAAAAGGAGTATTTTTCTCTCTCTTCATTATTATATTATTATTTCTTATTTCATTTATATTTTCTTATTTCATAAAACAAATTCTTTCCAAAACATTCACCATATATAATTCATATTATTTCCTTTTATAATCGTTTAATATAAAATTATTTTGTACCATAATTTTTTAAATAATATAAATTGCTAGCAAATATTATTCATTATAAATAATAATGGATAATACAAACAAAGTGAAATCATTAATGAAATACAATTAAATAAACATTACATAATTGAAAAAATTATTTTAAATTCTACATAACTATTCAACTTTCAAGATCACTATGGTGCCCCCATAAATGCTCTATTAATGCATTACGTAGTTCAAAATGAGCTTCTTTGTCCTTTATTTTTTTATATCGAGCTAGAAATTGTTGAAACTGATAATTTTCATCTATTGCCATTTCTACAGTCAAAGTTCGACCTTTCGACGCATCTTGAATTGGTGCATTAAGATCACGTTCATCCTCAATTATCATATTGTGCATTATAATAAATGAAGTTAATATATCATGTAGCACTTCTTTTCTCCAAAAATGTGACGGCCCTGCGATAATTGCAAAACAAGATTGCAAAACTATGTATTTTATATTTCAATTTTGATGTGTATCAATTACTACTTTGTTGAATATTTATTATTGTCACGACCCAACCCACCGGGCCATGCGGGCACCCACTCTAACACTGAAGTAGGAGAACCCTCATATCCCAATAGTAAAAACATGCGAAAATTTTAAGAAAACAGTAATAAATATAACTCTATGATTTTATAAATAACGCCTTTAGGGACACTATTAGTTAAACTTGCAAGGTAATTTAAACAACTCTGAATGGATCTAATCTAAACAGGTACAAGAGCTACTAAAAGTACAACTGAATAAGATAAAAAAAAAAGACATAGTTCCCACCATGCGGAAGGAAAAACAGAAGCTGCAGGAGATTTTTTCGACTTCACCTAATGAAATGTCACCAATCCTGCATCTAGACTATGTCAAAAGACATAGCAAGAGTAGTATCAATACAAAACACACGTACTAGTAGGCATCATCGATCAACCCGACTCCCACCACATAACATAAGAAACCAACTAGTAAGATCAAGGAATAAACCACTCTCTTCTCCACTTCACCCCTTTCATTGAAATACCTCCAATCACACTAGCATTCTAACTACTAACCCCTTTTTAATCAACCCACTTACCGGATTCTTGATCATAGCTTAACCATTCTAAACACGTAAGAAATTTCCCAATTACAAACACCACTAAATCAACTAACCGTACACGTCCTACCTTACTTCCTCATCACATTACTAACCATAGTATCATAATACAATGATTCAAGCTTTCTTAACACTAATCCAATCTCCTTCCCCCCAAGGTGAAATCTATCCAGCAATTTCCTTCACATACACTAACTCTACTCTCGCCATTACAACCCACAACAACCCACTATAAATCGTCATACACAGGTCCACTAAGTACAACATAAACAAACCAATACAATACTTTACTCACAAATGTATATCTAGTATGTGCAATATTGTCAACAAGTACACGAACAATGAATAACTCACATTTATATCACATCATTAGTCCTCTCATGGAACCCAAACTCAAACAGTTAGCATGTCAAAAGGTGGCAATCGATCCCAAATTAGTGTGCCGGAACGTGGCAGTCGATTTCATGTTTATGCCGGAACGTGATAATCTGATCCCTTATTATGCCGAAACATAGCAATCCGATTCAAGTTAGTTATGCCGGAACGTGGCAATCCGATCCCATTTACACACCACAATCACAAACACCAGTACATCATCAAGATCATACATTTAAGTCATGATTTCATGGAGATGATAATTCATCTATTTCATCTACAACAAGTGTGATCAACATTGCGACATTCATACATATACAAGTATCATAAGAAAGCAAGAACAAGCATGCATCACACAATCATAGAATCACAACCATCACCTACGAATTCCTCCTCAATCCGGGGAATCGACATCCTTTTGAATGTTACTGCTATTAATGAGGTACTAGAGGTACCCGATGCCTCAAACACGGAGTTCAAGGCCAAGCTAAGAGAGATGGATCTAGAGTGGTTGATGGATACTCTGGTTGAGCCTACGCACCGGGATCTGGTATGCTGCTAAGGGTATTACTAGCACGAATTGATCACCCGATGCTAAGAGGTGGCTACATTTGGTCACTAGGAGGATCCGCCTGTCGGGCAACCGCACCGCGTGACCTTTCCCCAAGCCTTGGTGGTGGCGTGCGCCATACAGGGTATCCAGCTAAATGTGGGGGCGCAGATCATCTCAGAGTGGAAGATGTTCTACCGGAGTAACAATAAGGCGTTCTTTCTCCCCGGTCTTATCACTACCTTGTGCAAGCGAGCGGCAGTGCCACTGTTTGATGTTGACGAGGTACTTCATATGTATCCGCCCCCCCCCCCCCCTTCACCCTCTTTTGGTTAGACAGGGCTCTACTTCTAAGAGCAAGAGGAAGAGGACGAGTAGGGCTAGCATCAGTAAAGCGGTCGTGGATTCGGATGACGAGAACCCACTCTCAGGTGCACGGGTTGAAGAGGATCTAGAAGCTATCCGGAAGAAGATGGGGAGTGCCTATGCCGACTTCACTTCGGTTCCACCCAGCATTTCCCTAGAGGTCGAGATGCTCCGTCGCCAGCTGTGCCGGGAGAGGCAGAAGGGTCTGGAGAGGGACCGTCTGATGGCTTGGATGTGGAAGACTATTAAAGCCATCTTTTCTTGTGTTGCCCCTGACAAGGAGATCCCCCGACTTGATCCAGAGGACTATAGGGAGTTCCCTATGCTGAATGAGGCCTGGGCTAGCGAGAAGCCCCCGGAGGACCTCGCCTCTGACACTGACACTTCTCATTCTCAGGGTTCTTGATCTGATTTTTTATTTCCCTCTTCTTGGGCTTGTAAATTTTAGACAACTTGTTTTTATTTTTCGACCTTCTATGTTTTGTAGCACATGGATGCTTGATTTCCTGTTTTTCCATAGCAAAAGGTGAATCCCTAAGTTTTTATAAACCATTCTCGATTGCTGAACACTGGAAAGATTGTAGGGATTTGATCGGATCCCATTCGGGGTTAAAAAAATATATTGAGGGAAAACAAGAGAGGCTGAGTAAGGTTATGCCTCGCCCTATCTCGCTCTGGCGGAGAAATTTCCGACGTGCGGGTCCCGCTATAGTGGGAAAAATCCTGCCCCAGTGGCTCTAACGGGACTAGAACCCAGGTCAATGATTTATGGGTTCTTTCTCACTCTTCTATGTTTTTCCCGAGGTTCCCAATTTATCAGGCCATCAAATTTAAAACTCCAACTATGATATACGAACCAGCTTAACCAACAATCTAGGATAAAACTCAAAGCTAGGAAAATCATTAACTAATC